TGTTTGGTTTTTTAATTTGTTTGTTGTTGTTGTTTGGTTTTTTTTTGTGGTGATTGTTGTTAGTTTAGTTTTCTGGGGTTTTTTTTTTTGGTCTCATTTCATCCCTTTAGGGTTTTAAATAGGCCAACACCTTTCATAAATTGACTGAGAGACAGTCTGGGCAAGCTGATAGGTGAATAGACAGCTCGTTTTGACAAATGATTTAACCTGGAATTTCATCTGAGAGGTGACCATCTGAATGGTTTTGGGGACCACTGGCCTGGCATAATGGAGAATTTTGTAGACTTCAGCCTCTGATGCTGAAGTCTACAAAAAAAGTCTTCTTTTTCAGTCTTCTTACTGAAAAAACCCATTTGAGTTATAATGGGAAAAGTGCTGCAGTGAGAAGAAGGAAACCTTAGTATTATTCTTCATTTCTTTTTTTACTTCTATTACCCTGCCTTGGGTGACTCTTCTGTATAGAAGAACTTGCAACATTTTCATTGGGCTCATGCAAGTGCAGCTGAGTCTGGTTTGCAAAAGGGGTGGAAAACCCCATCCCAAGAAGTCTGAAAGGAACAGTACTAAAAATCCCAATGAAAATGAACAGCCAAGAGCTTTTATGCTGCCAATATCAGAGCACAGGCTCTCATTGCAACTAGTGCTGCTCTGTCCAGGCTGTCACTGAGCTGATCCTCTTTGTCAGCAGAGCAGCTAATGGAAATCTGATTTAAGCCAGGAAGTGTAGATTTCATTCTCTTTTGGCACTGCAGAGCTGTACCAGAATGAGAGTTCTATTTGCACAAGATAACAGTCAATGGGAGGTAAATTTGACGTAAGCTGCGTTTTAAAAGAGTCATTCTTACATAATTCAGGCACTGGCAACCAGTGAGATTATGCTGAAAGCAGAGGGCTTTCCGTTCTTCCTTTTGGTGGGTGAGGAATTGGGACTTCAGACCTACCTCTGACTGTTCTGATTCCACTGCAGCATCACTTTGAACTCGAGTGTGCTGCTGATTTAAAAGGCCAGAAGAGATTATTTCATTCTCTGACTAAAATCCTCAGTTAAATATTCATGCATCAAACCTGTACTTTTTTTTTTTTTTTTTTTTTGAGATACAAAATACTTAACAAAAATGCTATCCAGCCTCAAGGTAGTAGGGCTTAAGTGGTGAGGGTAGTCTGTTCTGCAAAGGTGTCACAATGTTTTATTCAGGAAAATTATGTATTTTAATGCCAGTTTGCAGTTGTACTGGTTTAACTTCCATTGGTTTTCATCATACTTTTTTTTTTTTTCTTTAGGAAAGCATAGTCAGTACCTAGGAGAGTCTATGCAGACTGTGCCAAATTATCTGTCTTTCAGAGAAGTATTTACATAGCCAATACAGTCCTTCCTCCTTTTCCACTCTCGAATAATTCTTCTTGTGCTTTGGGATTATTTTGCACTTTGTCTTTATCATTTTGAAGTAGGACTGTCAGATTTGGATTTGCTACTTCAGTGACTGTTCTCTGCTTCCAGGAGAAACGTAACACCTGTATCCCATCACTACTTGATTTTTTTTTTTTCATTCAAAGATCATCTTAGATGTCTTAAGCAGAATGCCATGCTGGGAGGTTCAGTGATTACCTGCTGTGCCTCCTAACACGTTAGATTTTAGGACATGAATGAAATGTTATACTCAGTAAATGGATCCCTAGCAAAGACAGAAATGAGCTGAAATTTTTTCCTCAGGATTGCACTGCAGCAGATGCAAGCTTTGCTCCAAAAGCACTGAGCCTGTGGGACATCTTCCTGTGTTGTTTTGAAATTAGAGTGGGCTTACAAAGGAGTCTTTTCCTCCTCTAGTTCATTCCATCTTGTAAATTCTAATAATCTGCTTGGTTTCTAACAGGCAGGGCAGGAGGGGATCCTCACTGGGAGAAGCAGCAAAATATTTACAGGGAAGTGGATATTGGAGGAACCTTTAACAACCTCTGAGGGATCAAACAGTTGGGCTCGATGATCCCAGGGGTCTTTTCTGCCCTAAATGGGTCTGCAGACAGTTATTGTGACTTAGATCTGTTTTCCCCTGGGTGCAGCTTTCCCTTTGTGGTGTGCCTGGTGTTCCCCTTTGCTGGTGACAGCAAACAAACATCAGTCAGCGTGACGCACTTCACGGGTGCTTTGCTTTGCTCAGGCTGGACATGGGACACAGTTCAGAGGTGGACAAGCACCCAGAGGGCAGAGCCCATTGCTGGGCAGGAACAGTGGTTTGGGGGTGGAGAGCAAAGCAGCTGCACTGCTGTTCATGTGGGCAAGATTTGCTCCACACAGCCCCGCATTGCTTCTAATTCTGGAGCTGATGCTGGCACAGTGAGCTCAGGGCAGTGTGGTCTAAATTTGTCACCTGTCTCATCAATTAATTTTCATTTAACCTGCCCTTCAACTTGTCTGAGGCTATTTTCACTTGTCTAGCCTGCTCAGGAGCGCACAGTTCTTGCTCCACATTATAAGTGAGGTCAGAAGTCAGGGGCTTGCCTTGCTGATTAGTGGTGGAAGCTGCTGGAGAGTGAGAGCAAATGAAATGTGAGAACTCCCTGACCTCTGTTTCTACTTCCCAGCAGCCCTGGAATCGTGAACTTTTGCAGAAAAATGCCAAAAGTCATGCAAGCATGTGCAAAATAAAATACTTCTCATTTCCAAAATATGAGACAATGAATAGCAATGAAGAAATAAGCATTGATATGTGTTAAATGTGTAAAGTGTTTTCATGCAATCAAAGAAGTAAAAGCTAGCTAGAAATAAGCCACAATGCTCAACAATTTTTTTATGAACCTTTCTCCCAGTAGTGTTGGAGGGAGTGTTTTTCCACAGTTAGTGAACATGCCCCAAATTTAGTTTTTAATCACATTTTGTAATTGAAACCCGTTCTTCCTGAGAAAGGGAAAATACAACAAGAACCCTTGAAAGTTTGAGCAACTGTTTGTTTGCTAGCAATTTAAACATTATTTTTAATGCAAAATCAGATGCATTTGAAAAGGCATACATAGTTTTGACTGCAGTGGTGCCCATCCCGTTTGTGTGTTTGTCCAGCATCTTAAAGAACTGTCCCCTTCTGTTTTGTTTTGTTTTGTTTTTTCTTTTGCACAGAATGTTTGAACAATCAAATACTCAGTTAAAAGCTGTGTGTGAATTGGTTTAGGGTAAGTGATTCACAATGTTAGGGATCTGTGGCACTCTACCAAGTCAAAATTAATTCACCTTTATTTTTTTCTTTCTCTGCCCTCCTACTCAGTGCTCCTTCTACCATCCAACTTCTGTGACAAATGAGATATATGTCCTAGAGAAAAGATGATTTAAGATTCCCATGGGGAACGTTGAAAATATGAGATATGCTGATACAACTGAGAAATGGTAGCACATTGTAAAGTGCATTTCCTACCTTTTCTAGAAATCTCTTTGGCAAACTTAGAAACTCTCGGTCTAGAAGACCATCAATGCCAAAATAAATCATCTAATTTCTCTAGAAGTCTCTAGCTGAGATTTATCAAGAGCCCTTTTCTTTTGGTCGCATTAGGGTGGCATTTTCAAGTAATAGAGTGGAAGCCGCTTTCTCATAAGTAGTGTAGCACCACTCAAGAAGATAAAAGTACTTTCTTAGCAAAGACATTCGTAGCTACATCTGTATCTATACCTGCCTCAGTAAAAATTAAAAGCTGCTTGCTTAATTCTAGTCCCCTGAAATGGTTCACGTTTGATCAAGTTTCCTAAAATATGTTCTGTACCGACATTAAGCACCCACTTGGCAGGAAAGGTCAGGGTCTGAATAGCTTTGTTCTGGCTGAGTTCTAAAGTGCTGGAAGCAGAGGTCACACAGCCCTAACTATAGAAAGTGCTGTCTGCCCTGCCTGTAATAAGGGTTAAATCTCTGACAGGCCATGAAGTCCCACAGTCAAATGCAATCAAAGTCAGACCGTGCAGCATTAGGCAGCGAGAAGGACAGAGCTCGTTGAGAGTCACTGTCACTCTCCATGGCACCCACACAGTCCCTTTGGTGCCTGTTCTGTCAACCTTAGGAGGTCAAGACTTCTCTTCCCATAAGTGAAACATCATTTGAGACTAAGAGGATTGTAATTTAATTGAAATCGTTGACGCCTTTTTTTAGACTCGTTGCAGCGGTTTTGCAGTGGACATCTGAGTGAACATTTGAACCTTTAAGCTCGGAAGGTGTTGGGCTTTTTCTTTGCATCAGGATGATGTAAGCTCAGTAAAAAAAAAAAAAAAAAAAAGCAGTAGCTGCCTGGTTGAAAGGTGATTCAGAAATGCTTTGGTATTTGGGATGGTCTCATCTAGTAAGAAAACTTAGAAATTAACTTAGAAATTAGAAATTAATGGAGTTCAGATTGAAACACGAGAAGCAGCAAAATAACAGCGATGAAGTTGGAGAAAGAACATCTCTCAGGATCAGAAAATATCTCATTTTCTACTTTCTTTGTCCGCTCAGGAGTTGTGTCTGAGTCTTCATATCCTGCCTCTCCACCACAACTACATTTCTCTCTCTGTGATTCCCACTATTCCACCCATTCTCAGCCAGCAGGCCAAATACCACAGATCCTTACCTTTCGTGGCATCATTAATCTAGTTGTCCTGTTGTAGAGCTGCCATTTTTTCAGGAACACGCAGGACCTGAGACCTCTCTTGCTCCTTCAGAACCCTTTGAAGTTGATAAAATAGTTCAAAAAACAGGAACAGCAAAACCACAGAATTATCCCACGATTCTCATTCCCTGGGGAAACCGAGCTTGGCACGAGGAACCTCCTTCGAGGCCATAAGTTTGAGGAGCTCATCACACACAGGTGTCTTTTCTGTGTTTGTTTTATCATTTACCAGTTTGACATTGACAAGGAAGCTGGAGAGAGGCAAATTTACCACCGGTACTGTATGGAACGGGCATCTGTGCACTGCGCCCATGTGTTCACCACGGTCTCACAGATCACAGCCACAGAAGCAGAACATATGCTTAAAAGAACTCCTGGTAAGACCCAAATTGTTGTTTTTATTTTTGCTGTATTTCCTCCTACTATCTACATTTCCTTAGACTGAAGGAACATAATAGAGACAGAGAATAACCAATTTTCAGAATTCGAGTGCAGATGATATCGCTCGGAACACATTCTAGCAGCGTGTGGTGCAGTCCAGAAGAAATCAAGTTCAGCATCATTTAATAAACTGCTTTCAGGACCATTTTAGGAGAGCATTGATTTTACTCTTTGCAAGAACATCCAGGTTCAGGAGCTTTGTCTGTGCCAGGGTTTCCATGCTTTTAGGGCCAAACCATGAAAAGCTTCATACGTATAATATTTTCTAAAATAGTCGAGTTATGTGCCCAGCAGTCTGCCTGATTTTCCCCTTTGTGTTGGCCTCATAAAATACGAAATTTCAAACCCTTTTTGTGCTCCATGCATGGAGTTTGAGCAAGGTAATGAATCCCAGGGTGATGTGTCATTAAAGCTCTCTTTAAGTCAGTCCAGTGCTCCATGTGCAGGTAAGCGTCACGAGGGGAAAACTGCACGACGATTCTGGAGACTCTTTGAGCAGGTGTGTTCACATCTTGGTTATTTTAAGCTAAGCAATACTCAGAAGACTTTATTTTCTTGTTTTGTTTAGTTTTCTTTTTTTTTTCCTTTGTATATTTTTTAGGTGATTTGCAGTGCTAATTATACTTTGGGATTGTTATCTTTAATTTCAAGCCATATCGTGGTTCCTGAATCAACACAAAAGAGATGTTCATTGAATCCTTTGCCTCATTCCTGGCTAAGTGTCAATAGGATGACGAACTTAGATTTTTTTAAATTTCATTTGAAACGTGACACCTTTAAACAAGTCCCTTAAGCATTCAGTCATCTAAACTGGGATTTTTCTGAAAGGTCTTGATTTTTACGAAGTGCTGAGCACTTGACCTCTGAAAATCCAACTTCTGAAGCTGTTTTATATTGGGATGAGGCTTCTCCTCGCAACAGCTGCCTTTGGAAATCATAGTTTATGTTTTGGGATTTTAGGAGACTGAAATGAGTATGACTCCAGTTTAATTTGGGAGAGAAAATCTGCAGACTGCTCACAGATAAAACGTCAGTTGAAGCTGAAGAGAATTCCATGCACAGAGACTCACAGGCCTGAGCTTTTTTGTGATTATTCTTGCAACTGTGAAGAAACCAAGTAAATATATTTAATGTTTGAGTTAAAAAATTACTGACAAATATCATGCTTCACGTTGACAGCGCTAGATAGAAATTCAGTAGGAATTGCCACCCCAAATCCTGGGAGACAACTATAAGTGGAAAGTATGTTCTGATGGGAATAGGTACTTTATTAGTTTCTTTGAATCCTAGACCACAGATAAACTGGGTAGGGGTCTATTCTCATACTATTTATTCTCTCTGAAGTTGTGAAATCCACAGTGGCCATTTGGAAAGTTCAGCATTTATCCTTCAGTAGGTCATTGAGCTTGAATTCTGCAAAGGAACTTGAATGCTGAAAGTCTGTGTGTGTTTCTCAACCCACCTCAAAAATAAACTTTTAGAAGGGGGATGAAGAATTGGCACAATTAACTTTTATTTGCATTTATTGAGAGATAAACTCTGTAACCAAATTGTTAGCTAAAAATAACCGAGAAATGCACCAAGTAGAGCTGTCTCTGCTACTTCTCTTTAATGTTAAACTTGGATTATAATTTAAATCGTAAATCTTATCACTTGGAAAAGTGCCTTTAAAATTTAGCTAACCTGATTGCATGGGGAAAGTTTGCACCAGGACAAAGGCCAATTTGCCAGCCTAACCCTGGCAGAGTGACTGCTTTTTATAATTTGATCAATATTTTGTCAAACAAATTTTATTTGTCGAAAGTTTGACTATCTGATGTTGAGCCTGTTTTATTTGAAGTATCAAGCAAGATTCTTGTCAGCGATCCTAAGTTACATTTCCATGAAAACTGATATTACAGGATTTCTAATGTTTTCATTCAGATGTGAAACGTATTGGCAGTACAGAAGGCTTTGAATCAAAATTCCAAGAGACTTAGGTATTAGTTGAGATCTAGATCTAGGCTTCCTATCTTTATGTATTTGATCAAAATCATAGAAGACTCTGAAAAAGTATGAGTCAACCCTGAATGTTAGTGACTTCTTAGCAGAAAACATACTACTGTGCCAATATTACTTAAATTATTGCCAGTTTCTTTCCTACAAATACAGAAGTCAAAACATTCTGATTTGACCTCCTTTGGAAGATTTTTTTGAACAAAAATGTCATTAATTCATTAAACAACAAGAAAACACTCGACATAGGGACAAAGCTCTTTTTTATCACTTCTTCCCCAGGGTGAGGGCACATTGCCCCACACAGGTTCAGAATGTTACTGTTTGTTGAGCAGAAATAGTGAACTGGGTGCTTTGGGCCACCAAAGTTTGTTCTCAAAACCTTGACTAAGATATGGGTTGAGCCCCAATCCTGATGAAAGGGTAAATGAAGCTGCAGATGAATCAGAGGACGTGGCAGTAGGTTATACACAGGCTGCTGGTGGTGGCTGAGAGGGATCAAAACTCCCCAATAAATAAAAAATAAATGTGAGAGAGTGGATGGAAATTGGCCAGAAATACCCAGTCAGGCATTCCTAGTTTTTTGGGAAGAGTTTGAAATGGTTGTCTTTTCAAAACTATGTCCTGCAGGAGCCTGTTATTCCATGCTGGATAAAGGGCAGTGCAGAGGAAGGAGGAGATGGTTGCTAAAGGCAAGGGAGGATGTGTCTGCTCTGCTGCTTCCTCATTCATATGAGGCCACAGAGGTCTTTATTCAGAGAACTTTTAGTGCTGGGCAGGAGAAAGTAAAAGCACAACTTTCCTTGTCAGGCCCACCAAGACTGTCCTTTTTTTTGTCATCGAGAACCAAATCTTAAGTACCTAGCAAGTAAAGATTTCCTGGTCTTTAGTTTCAAATGTGGTATTCCAAGACAGACCCATCAAAATTTTGGGTATTTCATAGCTGCTAATAAAGGTTGAATTTTTATCTACTGCTGTTTAACCTTGAGTGTTTCAGAACCCTTTACAAGATAAGGTTTAATCAGAGATCACTCACCTGTCAGGGACACGCTTATATTGCTGAAGTAGACTTTGAATTTCAGGGAAGTAATTGAAAATGGCTGTGGCATTTGCATGAAAAATGTCAGGCAAATATATTAGATAGCATATGGAGAATTGGTTGTACTTATTTTAAGATCATCTTGATAGGGGATTAATCAGAAGAGCCATAGGTGTTTAAAAGAAGTCTCCATAAGTCTCTCCAGAAGTAGGAGACTGTTTTATATCAGGCCAGATGTTTAATGCTAGACATGCAAACTTCTACTAATGGGGGAAAGGATGGGAAACCCCGAATGTCAGGCATCTGGGACTGAAAAATCACAGCAAAAGTGACGTTCAGGACCTGTATCAGTGGCAAGGAAGAGACTGTGCTCCCATCAGCAACCCTGGTGTACGGGAGGAGTTAACCATGAGCACTGGGATCAAAGGAGGTGCTGTTTGGATTGCATAAACCATGTGTTGTAGGGAATGATAATATCTCACTGAAGGTCCTTTGGAACCTTTAAAATTACTCCAGTTAATGGTTGTGATGAGCAGACACCCAATGACCCCTCCAGGAGAACAAGTTTGGAACTGGCACCACTGTGCCCTCTAATAATCAGTGCTTCTTGCTCCTTTGAAGATTCTTTGTATTTGAAGGATATCTGGTATCATAAATAAGTGCAGGTTTGTTTAAGGCAGTTGTGTTCCTTTGAAATGAGGGACTGGCCTCCCCTTTCATTTCCATACATGGCTTTCGTAAACCATCTCAAAGAAAAGAAAGTAGCATTCTTTCCATTTATTTGAACTAGATTTAGGGCAAGCCTTTAAATTGCTGTGATCTACCAGGAAGTTGAAGAGGGACTGGATTTCAGTGTTTGAAACAAGCTGTGTCTGCCCTCTGTGTATATCCCATAAGCCTACCTTAAAAATGCTGGAAATGGACACATTTTAATTGAAAAATCCTTTAGAATCTTGGAGGAGAACAGCTATAAATGTGTAAAGCATATTATTCTGTGGCTATTTTTAGGAGAAATCCAACAGATTACTCAAGGGAGGTCTTTTTTTAAAAGGTTTCCTATATTCCCCCTTTTCTGCTAAACCCTCAGAAGTCTTGATAGGATGGGTATCTCTTGTGCCATGCAGCAAACAAGGGCATAGTCCTGTGCAGTTTTTTTGCTTTCAAGAACTTTCAGTCTCTGGTGATAGAGCAGGGACCAGTGATACCACAAATCGAGAGGGAAGGGGCACATTGCACAACAAACACGGCCGAACGGAGACACAACCCGAGTCTTGACGGGACAAAAGGGCAGGATCTGTCTAGTGCTGAGCAAAGGGGAGAAAAGCCACTTTAATGCCAACGTGCCCACGTGCAGGAGCTTTGTGGAATGAGCTGGTGGAGACTGTTGTGTCAGGCGGTGCTGTCCCCTCTCCAGAAATAACATAACCCGTAACCTGTTTGCGTGCTGACAGCCGGGAGGCACGGTGGTTCTTTCCTGAAAGATTTCTCTGACTCTGAAGATGTCTACCTCTGCCTTTTCTCTGCTTTTCCAGATGTTGTCACCCCAAATGGCTTGAACATTAAGAAATTTTCAGCAATGCATGAGTTTCAGAATTTGCATTCCATGTACAAGGCTAGGATCCAAGAGTTCATTCGAGGTCATTTCTATGGGTATGCTTTTACTTTTCAAAAATTAGCAACGGTTGTCCGACAATATTTAAAGCAAGAACCAAAGCAGGAAGACTAATGAGTGCTTCATAGAGGAGCTGAAATGCTACCAGCTTCTACAAATATCTGTCTGGGATTTCTCAGTCAGAAGCTAAAGGAATTTTAGACACCAGTCCTAACTCTGCTTAACAGATTGTGATATCAGAGAGCAGATGTGCTGATTTGTTCATTATTTACCCAAGATGCAGCTTGCCAGATTAAGGCAGTCGATTTAAAGAACAGCAGAACAGCCTCACTTTCTTTATGTTCTCAGAATAATTAAATTCCTCCAGAATAGAAAGCTGTTGTGTGCTTTGCTTGATTACATCTAGAGAAATACTTTGTTCTTGTCTGTTTGTTTTTTCTTACTTTCAGCCACCTGGACTTCAATCTCGACAAGACCTTATTTTTCTTCATTGCTGGGAGATACGAGTTTTCCAACAAGGGAGCTGACATGTTTCTAGAAGCCTTATCAAGATTAAACTTTTTGCTGAGGGTAAGAAAACTTGTGCAGCTGTTGACAACATAGAGCTTATGTTCAAATTATCACACTGTGGAAGTCACCTGCAAGGATTCCTATAAGCTCTGGTTTATGGGAAAGTAATTATGGGATGCTCACAGTTTCCACAGTGCCCTTTTTCTGAACCCTCAGAGAATACAATGATCTCAGACATTTTAAAAATAATTGGTTACATAGTTCTAGGAATTAATCCGTGGCCACCTCCCTTGTTTTCAGAGAGAAATAATTAAAATGCTATTCAAGAGTTTGCCCTGAAGGTTTACCTACTAGAAGGGAAATAAAAGTAATCCTTTAATGATGCCTTTTAAAAATATCTTTTTAAACAAATTGTTTAATTCACTGGGACCTGATAATGATCTTTTAAATCTGCTGTTACCACACTGGATGGGAATCTCGCAACGAAAATTCCCACTGTGGCAGTGGGCTGGTGAGGAAGCCTGGAGAAGTGAAACTCAGTTCTCCATGCTTCTGTTCCCTCAGGTATAAAATGAGTGCAATGTTTCTAATGTGTTTTATTTAATAAAAATATTTTTAAATAATTTTTAAAATTCATTTACTTTTAATGTAGGGAAGATAAGAGCTAGGCCTTGTTCTGATCAAAGATCAGAGCACTCACCACCCACAGTGAGGTTGTTGAAAATGTCTCCATATCTGTCCTAAAGATTGATACATTTAAATTTATAGACAGAAAAAGTTGTACTAATCAGTTTTCGGTCACGTAGCAAGGATCAGTTGGCTGTTGTTGCCAGACTCCCTCTTTTGTGCTCTTAGCATTTAAATGATATGGAAAATCTGGATAAAAATAACGATCCTGTGTTGTCAGCAGGGCTGAAAAAAATATTGATTTCCAAAGCCCTAAGAACACCTTGTTCTACCACACCGTGGACTTTCTGCAGATCCTTCCTCCATTCACTCACACAGCCTCACCTAACCCAAGTGTTTCTTCCACAACAGAAGTCAGTTGTTTGGCGTTTCAGGGCAACATCAAGTACCTGTTGATGGCATTTAAACAACTCTGAAAACGGGTAATGTGGAAAGTCTCATGTGATAAGAGGGAAAGAGTTGCTTGAGCAACCACTGCAGCAATCTCTTATTGTAGCTAATTATTTATATCACAGAATCGTTAAACTCTCTGCTGTTGCTCCTCCCACGAGCTGAGCCTGACTTTACTGCATTACTGCTCCATTTTGGATGCCAGCGTCTGATTAGCTGTTCAAAGAACAGCTCTGCAGTTCTTTCAAGTGTTTTATCATTTTCAAGTGTAATTATTGCTCTGTAGTTGTTTCAAGGGGTAATTCCATTGGGAATGGCAGAATACCTGGTACTGCTTCTGAATCTGGAAATGCTGCTGCTTCTGAAACACATTGCAGTGGTGTGCCCTAAAAAATACATAGAATTGGGTGCAATTATTTTATTTTATAGAGTCTTTTTCCTTTGCTACTTGAGTACCTCACTAACATTTTGGAGGTAAGGTAATAATGTTGGCACAGAGAGTTAATACACACCGAGATCATGGCATGGTGGACCCTGAACCTGCCTTGAAGAGAGGGAAGGGAAGAACCTGAACGTGACAGATGACTCCTGAAGGTTATTTTCCACTCTGCATTTCCCTGTATCTCAGTCTGAGAGAAGGCCTGCTAACAGCAGGTTTTTAAGTGTAAAATTTAAAACAGAGGCAACCCAAAATAATTTAATATTTACTGCACTGAACAGGGCTCACCCTTAGCTTTTCTTTAAACAGTTGGTGACAGGAATAAAACCTCATTCATGCAAGGAATCCTTTGCTCACTCCTTTAAGCCAAACCAGTTTGTGTCAGGTGAGAAAATGTGTGTAGGATTTTTGGGTTTGTTGTTTGGTTGTTTTTTGTTTTTTTTTTTAAAGTTTATTTCCACATCCTCAGCCATGGCCTCTAAACCATGAGAGGTCAGGAAGATCTGTACTGACCTATTGACACTGTGTGACATATATTTTACCTGTGTTATCCTCAGCTGTGTGTCTGGCAAAAAAGGGAGAGTGAAGAGGTCAGAGCCTTCCTGGGCAGCCCAAGTGCATTGGATTTTCCTGTGATCAGTTCTTAAAGTTGGCTGTGATACTTTGCAGTGAGATTTTACTTTTCTTTTGGTTTATTCCTCTCCTTTCTTTGTCGTGTAGGTCCATAAGACTGACGTTACAGTTATCGTGTTCTTCATCATGCCAGCAAAGACAAACAACTTCAACGTGGAAACCCTGAAAGGACAAGCAGTCAGGAAGCAGCTCTGGTAATTCCCACTCTCTCCAAGGGCTTGGTGCAGTGAATTCGGGACACATGCAAAAGTTTCAGCTGAGGAATGATGCCCTTTCTTTTTGCTCTGCTAAAATTGAGGGTTGTGGGTAATTAGAATGTATTTCAGGGATGAAAGAGATGAGAATGATAAATGAGGGTAAATATTTCTCCTTTTTTATTTATTATTTTTATCTATGTCCGTGTTTTGTTTTTTCTTTTTAGTAAACTTCCCTTGCCATTCTTTGTAACACATTAGCAAGTAGGATTTGCTTTGCAGCCACAAAGTCAAATGTTCTAGAAAATCCACTGCTCTGGATGTCTTCTGACTGTTTCTGGTATTCCCTTTGGATGTGCCATAGAGCTCCCACGAAATAAAGACTCACTGCTGATTTATCACAGGAAGCTTCTCTGCAGGAAAAAGAAATTATTACACATCCTTTTCTATGTAGAAATACGGAAATTGTGCTGGCTGAGGCAGCAGAATAACAGTTGATAATAATTGTCTGTAATTTTGTGTGCAGCTGAAGTTTCGAATTCATAAAGAAAAACCAGTGGTGGGTTATCAGGGATGA